GAGATTACACCGAATTTTTTGTTGTTGAAAATTGAAAGTCAACCACATTACTCTACTAGCTAGGTTTGTAATCTGTATACACAAATAACGAGGAAACAACCAAAACAACCAATAATTGTATGATATCTCAGTGTTCATGAAAACTAATATATGGCAAGGGAGTGGAAATATTAAAAAATAACAATCACTTTGCTTTACTCCATTTTCTGTGTGGCAGGTAACAACTACTTGTTAAAAAGATACTATGGAAATATTCAAAGTGATCAAGAAATGGACTTTAATTAATAAGATGATAATTGGTAGATCCAGCTGTTAAGAATTGTTAATAATTTATAGTCTTAGATTATCAATCAGACAAATTGAATTGGTCCTTCAAACAGCTCTTTATCCCCTAGGAATGTTAGTATAAATACATTGGCCACTGTATCCCTTAAAGCCATCACTTCTTCACATTATTTCCTTTCTTCAACCCCTTCAAAGTTTTTTGGAGATTTCACTAGCCATATTTGGGAGCTAGTGCAGGAATTTTCCGGCGAAATGTAGCGGTTTCACCATGGCGGCCTTGCCAATGGTCGTCGATATTTGCCACAAATCTTAGTGGCATTGGCCATATTGGCGGTTGCTAATGTAGTGTCAGCAGATCCTTATATATATTCTTCTCCACCACCTCCAGCATACGAGTACAAGTCACCATCACCTCCGTCTCCTTCTCCGCCACCACCTTATGTGTATAAATCTCCACCTCCCCCATCACCTTCTCCCCCGCCACCATATGTTTATAAATCACCTCCACCTCCTTCTCCATCACCACCTCCACCATATGTGTATATGTCTCCTCCACCCCCATCACCTTCACCTCCACCGCCTTATGTGTATAAATCACCACCTCCTCCTTCGCCATCTCCCCCGCCCCCGTATGTGTACAAATCTCCTCCTCCACCATCACCTTCACCACCACCTCCATATTATTATAACTCGCCACCTCCACCTTCACCATCACCTCCACCACCATATTATTATAAATCTCCGCCACCACCCTCGTCATCACCACCTCCACCTTACTATTATAAGTCTCCACCGCCACCTTCTCCTTCACCTCCTCCACCATACTACTATAAATCTCCACCACCTCCTTCACCTTCACCTCCGCCACATTATTATTACAAGTCTCCGCCTCCCCCATCACCATCACCACCACCACCATACTATTACAAGTCCCAACCAACACCTGCTAAGTCACCTCCTCCCCCATACTACTACAGTTCTCCACCACCACCACTAATGTCTCCTCCTCCACCATATTATTATTCCTCACCACCACCACCAAAAAAATCATCTCCGCCACCATATCACTATACTTCCCCACCACCACCAGTTAAGTCTCCTCCTCCACCATATTATTATTCCTCACCACCACCTCCTAAGAAATCACCTCCTCCCCCATATCATTATAGTTCCCCACCACCACCAGTTAAGTCTCCTCCTCCACCGTATTACTATTCCTCACCACCACCGTCCAAGAAATCACCTCCTCCGCCTTATTACTANTATATATATATATATATATTTATTTATTTATTTATATGTTGCAAGTTTATGTTCTGTGTACTAACATCGATAAATGTTAAGTTGACCTGCAATAATAATTATTTCTTCGTACCATGCCTTGATATGATACCCTACAAAATAGAGTATATCCCGTTACATGGATAGTGTAAAAATTCTTACTATCAATGCATATAACTTATATGTTACCGTATACATCGATGCCATCTTATTTTATATTAGTAATGTTTGCCTCGACATAGAGTTTAAGATGTTAATTTGATAGTATTATGTTATTGGTGTAATGGAAGAAATACTAAGTGGACGTTTGGATATAAGAATTGTAAAATTCCAAAATAGGGGGAAAAAGATTTTCAAGTGAAAATGGTATTTGAAATTTTTAGAGTTGTGATGAATATAATTGTGGGTTGTTTTTGAAGTTTTGTAAGTGATTTGAGTGAAAATTTTGAAAAACAGCTTTTTGGAGTTTTCCAAATTTTTCGAAAATTTTCAAAATGCATCTTCAAGTGAAAATTGGAAATTTTATGAACAAACGCAGATTCAGAAAAAAAGTGAAATTTTTTTGGAAAAAAAGGGAAAAATTTCTTATGTCCAAACGGGCTTTCGAGTTGTGTTTGGACATGAATATAATTTTGGGTTGTTTTTGAAGTTGATTTGAGTGAAAATTTTGGAAAACAGATTTTTGGAGTTTTTTAAATTTTCGAAAATTTCCAAAATGCATCTTCAAGTGAAAATTCGAAATTTTACGAACAAACGCTGATTTCGGAAAAAAGTGAAAATTATTTTGGAAAAAAAGAAAAAATTTCTTATGTACAAACGGGCTCTAAATACTCCTAATAGTTACAAAGATTAGCTTGATCCAAAACGTGTTAAGCTACTAATTAATAATGAACCACAAAAAAGAAAAGAAAGGAGAGAAAAGAAAATTCTGAAGCACAACAATGGAAAATTGGTTATCTTGATTGTTGAACAAAAAATTAGAAGCAAAAAAGGAAAGGATTTGGTTTTTAAATTTGAAGAGAAGTAATAAATTTGAAGAGAAGTCTATGTTGCTCGGACTCTCCGAAAATATTGTCGGATACGTGTCGGATCCTTCAAAGTAGTGTATTTTTGAGGATTCGATACGGGTGCGGCAGCATTTTGGAAAGTGCGCGCAACATAGGTTGAGGTGTGCACATGTTGGCCAGACATCACCGTTATAAAAAGAAAATTTGAATGTATTTATTTAGTGTCTCGTTTAAGCTATACAAGTGGTAGAACATTTTTTTTCTTGTTCCTATTTGGCTGCTTGCTTTGCTTTGTAGAGATTGAGGCCTATTGGTAATCTAGTGATAATTGAAAGTTTCAATATTCTTATATGAGGAATATTTTTGTGTATATTGAAGGCATTAGTTGAGATCTCAAGGGGGAGAAAATGGACTATGTTAATGGACCTGGAAGGAACCATTTGTTTGTTCCGGGACCTGTTAATATCCCGGAACAAGTTCTCCGTGCGATGAACCGGAACAACGAGGATTACAGATCCCCAGCTATTCCAGCTCTCACAAAGGTCTTGCTTGAGGATGTCAAGAAGATTTTCAAGACTACTAGTGGAACTCCATTTCTGTTCCCAACAACAGGTATAGTTATATGCTTGGTATCTTACTCTTTATAGTCTTGTTAGTTGCATGTGAATGAGTTTGGTTTAATGATACATTGGTTACTCAAGATACAAGTTTCCTAGGCTTAGAGGCGGAGCCAGGATTTTGAGTATATGGGTTCTGGAGGATAAGTTACTAGGTTCGGGATAGATTATTGTCACATATTAAGTAGATTTCTTAATACAAATACAGAGTCTGATTCTACCGAAGCCGCAACTAGACTTGTTGCTCCACCACTGCCTAGGCTTATTGTTAAAATGAAATGATAAGATTTTTTCTAGCATTAGAATGAATCTTTTGCCCGAAAAATAGGGCAAAGTCGAAGAAAAGGTCTATATAGGCGATTGTGATACCAATAGATTGGGATGCAGTTTTAGTCATGTTAGTACGTTTGCTTTAGATCCAATATTTTTGTGTCTTTTTAGAGATTTATATGCCAGTAGAAAAATATAGAAAAGAGCTTGAATGGAGCGACAAGGATATTGGAGATTTATATAACCGAACCCAACTTTCTTGTGGTTGAGATGTAGTTGTTGTGTTGTTGTTGTTGTATTAGGATGAAACTTTTCAATTTGATTTTATCCCTCTTCTGTTATAACACAAAAGGAAAGTGATGGCTTTCCAGTAATATGAATAGCATCATCAGTTCAAGTAGTTCTTGATTTCTTTTGGCTCAATATTGAACTCAAGATGGCCAAACCTCATAATTTTTCCATTATGGCAGGAACTGGTGCATGGGAAAGTGCGCTCACAAACACGCTGTCTCCTGGTGATCGAATTGTATCTTTCCTCATCGGTCAGTTCAGTCTGCTTTGGATTGATCAACAGAAACGCCTCAACTTCGATGTTGATGTTGTTGAGAGTGACTGGGGCCAAGGTGCAGACCTTGAAGCTTTAGCCTCCAAAATTGCAGCAGATAAGTCACATACTATTAAGGCAATTTGCATTGTGCATAATGAGACAGCCACTGGAGTTACCAACAACTTGGCTACTGTAAGGAAAATACTCGGTAATGTATCCAACTGTTGCATATTTACTTCAAGAAACTGAATTCAGATATCAAACAGTATGCATTAATTTTGCTATCACTCAATTTTCGTGCCAGATCACTACCAGCATCCTGCTCTCTTGCTTGTTGATGGAGTGTCCTCAATTTGTGCACTTGATTTTCGCATGGACGAATGGGGAGTAGATGTGGCGCTTACTGGTTCGCAGAAAGCACTTTCCCTTCCCACCGGACTCGGGATAGTATGTGCTAGCCCAAAGGCTCTTGAGGCCGCCAAAACTGCAAAATCTGTGAGAGTTTTCTTTGACTGGAGTGATTACCTTAAGTTCTACAAGATGGGAACTTATTGGCCATATACTCCTTCAATCCAACTTTTGTATGGTCTGAGAGCTGCACTCGACCTTCTTTTCGAGGAAGGTCTCGAAAATGTGATTGCAAGACACGCTCGCCTGGGCAAAGCAACAAGGTAACAGTAAAACCTCTGTTAGTACCTGTCATGTTTTTGTTAATTAGTGAATCGCAGCTTAATTTGCACTTCGCTAAGATAATACTTCCTCTGTCTCATTTTAAGAGGAACTCTTTCTTAGTCTGTTGCAAGAAGAAAGGCACCTTTCTATATTTGGAATCTCGTTAACTTTAATGACATTCTCATATAGACACAGAAATGTCATGCATGGCATGTTCGATTCCATAAGTTCTAAGGGTCCTTTTTGCATGTAGCACAAATCTTTCTTTTTTAAACTCTGTATCTAGTCAAACACCGCCATATAAAATGAAACGCAGGGAGTAGTATTGTACGTCAACTTGAGCATTATAGCTTACCAATCTTGGTAAAATCGATGTATATCTAGGAGATGCATCACTTTCACCAGGATTCTGCCTTAGCATACATAATTGGAGAAATGATACAAATTTTTTGAATGAGAATGCAGACTTGCTGTGGAGGCGTGGGGATTGAAGAACTGCACTCAGAAGGAGGAATGGTTCAGTGACACCGTCACAGCTGTGGTTGTTCCTCCATATATCGACAGTGTTGAAATCGTGAAAAGGGCATGGAAGCGATACAACTTAAGCTTAGGTCTTGGCCTAAACAAAGTGGCAGGAAAGGTTTTCAGAATAGGACATCTTGGCAACTTGAATGAGGTAACCTTTCTCTTTACTGCAGATTACATGTCTTATTACACTTTCTGTGAAGTCTAACAAGACAACGATTACACGATTATTCCTCGAGCACGTGACTGCTACTATGGAATTCAAGATCATTCTTGAACATGTGACTGTCACCAAGTTTCTTTAGATTATGGTTTGGTTCAGAGAATTAGGATAATTTGTGTAGAGATAACAGTTGACATACTACCATATGCATAACTGCATAAGCTCTGGTTTGTTTGTTTAATGGCTGCTACAACTTAAAACTCTATACTAACTAGCCAAAAGCATAAAATCTCCATGTTTATTTTCTTTCTCAGAGGATGTGTTTGGTTCAACTTATAATGATTTTCTGAGTTCAAGCACCAAATTAACTCATAAAATTTAGTGTTAATAGTTTCCATTTGGTTACTAGACATATAGTTTAAGAGTCATATCTCTAATATTTTTTGTCTCTTGAATTTGCCACTCCATCCATAATCCATTCCAATTTCCGAGACACTAATTTCCGTTTTTGGGACGTTCCAAAATGTTTGATAATATTAAATAAATATCAAGACCAGTTGATTATCAATTTATAATTGATAAAATGAGAGCAAAACTAACTTTCTGAAAAATGAAATTTATTAATATAGCGGGAAGAACTACTCTAGCTCAATCGTGCCTAAATACAATACCAAACCACTATATGCAATATACCCTACTACCAAGGAAAACCCTTTAAAAATATTGATAAAGTCCAAAGGAATTTATATGGGGAACTACCACAGAAAAGTAAAAAAAATTTACCTATTTAAAATGGTCAAATGTTTGCCAACTAAAATCCAATTGGAGCCTAGTCATTCGCAGTGCCGGTGCAAAAAATATGTGCATCTTAGCTCTCCTAGTATGGAGAATTCTCACTAATGCTACAATTCCCTGGCCAAGACTTATTATCACCTCGTATGGTATTAGTACAACTAAGTCCAAGCAATCCTTCATTTGGAGAGGCATCCTAAAGGGGTGGGAGATTGTAACGACCCGGCCGATCGTTTTGAGAGTTATAGCCTCGATCCTAATTACTGCTTCCCTCGTATCTATTGCTGCT